GGTGAGTGTTCAAGGGGCGGCGAAGCGGCGGTCGGCATGGTCAAGACTGACACTCTGCCCCTCGCGCGTGGTAGGGCGTCCCGAATGCAAAGTCTGTGCGGTACTAGGTACTGCATGTTCTTACAACTCTTCTGGCTTGAAGCGAGGTCCTCCCAAGGGGTTCAGATCATCGCCCAAGGAATCGGCTCGCGTGCGTCTCATCAGGCAGCTCGAAACGACTATTCGCGACCTGACAGCTCACCTAGGAACGGAAACTGCAGCTATAGAACTTGAACGCATCAGCGCTGAGCGCGGCATACAACTCCCGAATCAGACCTCAGGACCAGAAGGCCCGTCTATGCCTACTCCGACTGCCGCTCCCCAGGATGGTCTTGGACAGCGATCAACATCTTCAGAAGAGCGAGATAGCGAGTTCCTGGGAATCAACGAGAAAGGGGAAGTCAGTCATAGAGGATCAAGCTCCGGCATACACTTGCTGCATCGTCAAAGTCAACAGCAAGCCCCTGGAAAGTCCCCGCTCAAGCCGCACTCTGCACAACCCCTGACAACATTAGAGGGCCTTGCTGATCGAGGAATCGAATCTAGCGCGGAGGGCGCCAAAAGAAGTGGAAAGCCGGTTAGCATCGTACCGCTGCCCCTCGCCCGGCCTAGTGGAAACCGACAAAACAGTGGCGCCGATTCGTCCAAAGCGCCCCTTCGGGGATTCCCCCTGCGTGGCGTGCCGGTACTCTCAAATGGCGCCCAAGCAAACCGAGATCATATCCTCAACACGTTGTCGCCATCCGGTGTACCGTCGCGCCGTTTATTTCGAGGCAACGTGGACAGTAACGGATCTTCAACTTCGGCAAGCTCGTCGCCCCGTCCAGAGGGCAGAACTGACAACGCAGATGCGTCCGAGGCTACAGCGCTCAGAGCTTGTCTAGTCAATATTCGCGACCAGACCACACTCATGACGGAGCAATCGCAGGACTTGATGGGTGCGCCTCTGCTGACGGAGGCAGCTAATGCACGTTTGTGGCGCTTCTACTGGAGCGGGTTTCATCCCAT